AATATTTTACAACAGAAGAGCCCTGTTGATCACGGATGACAAGTTCATGTATGTGCAGACTTACCCTGAGCCCCAGCAAAGCCATGCAAAGCCTACCCCCTCAACCGCCCACCCATGCCCCGGCCCCAGCTCCTCTAATTGAAAAGGTGCTGAGCATCTCGGTGAGTATTTCGGTGTTGAGAAATCGAAACGCGATCCTCGGGACAGTCGTTAAAACGGAGGAGGAGGCTGGGATCGCTGTTCGCGATGTCGCGATGACCGCAGGATGTCTCGCTCCTTGTGACTCTGGCACACTTTGGCGAGTCTGGGACATGTTGGGGCAACCCTGTCTGGCACGAAGTCAAACTAGTAATCCTTTCGATTAACGACATGGTCGCTGCTTGACAGCACAATGGCTGGCAGGTGTAGGGGGATCTCCGATCCCCGCATCCCCACCCCGCCCCTGCAAAGCCCAATCCAGGTAGTGACTGATGACGTTTTGGGAGGCGTTCGACGCCATAGCCATACAACAGCATGAAGGTGTGTTCATGTGCACAACCTAGCTAGATCGGCGACCTTATTGTACACAGGACGATGTTGCGCAGTGGCTGATGAAGCTCTCGACTGTACCAGCAGACATCCTGGATGTGGCCGCCGAGCTGAGAAGTCAAAAATGTGTTTGAGCTCTAGTGCAGACCTTTTTCTTTGATCAGGATTACAACAGGGATCTTGATATTTATGCTTTGTTTGCTTCAACCATTGGTCCCTCGTGGACTTTGCTGAAGAGGAATCCGTAGATTACGTTTTCCCAGAGCACGGAGCCCAGCCAAAGCCAAGGTTCACTTGCATGCCGTTTCTGGGGCTGTGCTGCTCTCCATGACAGAGGAGGACCATCGCAATCGGTATTGGACTGTGTTGGTTTTGGAGCCTTGGGTAGTGTTCCTAGGGGCTGCCTCGCACACAGGATTTGGAAGGCCTCCGCATCGAGAAGTTCGGTCACCGCAGGCCGCTAAATTGGAAATTAAATTGCTTAGTCAGTATGGTTTCATGAAACTGGTAGCAGGAAGTGATGTGGTGGCATGGATGATTCTCACTCTCCTTTGACTATTGGCCAGAAGCCTCCATGTCTGCCATTTGTAGTGGTTGAAGTTGATAACTGAGTGTTCTTGATATTGATGCCTTCACCATCACACCATTGGCACAAAAGCCTTCCCGCTTCCACTGAACACGTCAGACCGTGAAATAAGACCACACCTAGCACAGCTCAGCTAAATGTTGAAGGTGGAATACAATGCAGGCCCCGCCTCAAAGAACGAGCAAGTAGCAGCAGCACTCAAATAAGAAAAAGGGCATGGACCCTAAACCAAACCCTAAATTGTGGAAACGGCGCATGGTCGAAGCTCGAATTGACTCCAAGTGGCTTTCAAAGTCGGATTTAGGGTGTAGGATCTAGGATCCGGAACAGAACCTGCTGAAGGTTGCTCCTGCTCGCTGCGCAGGAACTTCGGCGCACGGTTCAGGTACCAAATGGGGATCTGGGAAAAGGATGGGTTTTCAATCAGGGAGGGTGTCGGTAATGGGAGTCATGGAAACGAGCTTTGGAGGGAGGTGCTGCAGAAATAAAGAGCCCTGACGTAAACCCTGAATAGTACGGTGGGGTATAAGGACCCCAAGACAAAGTACCCCAAAGGTTGACAGTGAATAGCAAAAACCATCAATCCGTCCAACATCCTTAATTGCAATCTGGAACCTTCAAGACCCCTTAACTCTGACGACAAAACCCCTAAAGTCTAAACCCGCCTAATAAAAAAAACACATAAAACCTGAAGGTCGAAAGCATGAATCCTTGAAAGGAAATCCCAGAATTCTAAACCCTAGAACACCAAACCCATAAACCCCCGAAGTTAAACGACAGAAACCCCAGAACCCCAAACCCCCGACCGCCCTGAGCCTTCAAAACACCGTATTCCCGGCACAGCAAGCCCCTAAAGCCCTAAACTCTAAACCCTAGACCTACACCTCTACGGTTTGGTAGTTGTGGGTGGCATTTTACAAGTCTAGACACGGTCAAATATGCTGTTGTCTGTATCGCCTTGCCTTTCTGATGGACCAGTATCGCTACAGACCTTGCCAGGCTTGTCCGAGTGTGAGTGTCAACCCCTAAACCCCTAAACCCTAAGCCGCTTTCGTCAGGTGGCCAATGACAGGCCAGGTCCCGGAGGCCGCTGTTGTTCTTTAAGGGAGCATGCAGGGCTTTGGGGTTTAGGCTTTGGGGTTTCGGGTTGTTTGTTTTAGGGTTTCGGGTCCCTGTTTTTGGGCGGTTTAGGAGTTAGTCCACATTTTGGGAGGATTTCGGGCTTAGGGTTCCGGTGTTGGGTTAAGGGTTTAGGGTTCCTGCTTTGGGTTGGGTAGGATTTACGGAATGTTTAAGTGTTTTCAGAACAGGTTTCATAGAGCAGAGTTTAGAGCATCTAGGCTATGGTTCATTTATTCCTCGTGGGGTGTTGCTCCTCATTGTTTGATGCGTTTTGGAGTCTACTGGATATGTTATTTTGAAAGGATTTAGCTCTAAGTCACGATGTGCCTTTGGGAATCTTTCCTGGAATGGCCTGATCTGGCAAAATCCCGAAACGCCAGGCCCAGTCTCTGGGCTTGTCTGAAGCTACAAAGCTGCGAGAGTAGTCATAGCATTGAAACACGTACGACTCACGATGCTCGCAATATTTCGCAATACTCACAACCACCGTATCGTGATATTCAGTTAGTAGGCATGTTAGAGCCTAGTGTCCGGGCTAGATCCGTGGCATATTACGTCCTCTGTTACGCCCCGAGGCTCCCGTGGTTTGGGCGACTTCGCGGTGGCCCTGTCGCCCAGTTCATCCATTGGGTGCGCCCCGAAGACAGTCGGGACTGTAGAATCCTGCTGTCTTCTTCTGAACTCGTGGCAGGAGTGGAGCAGGCATTGCAGGGGCTGCGTACTCCGTGTGCGTCCCTCAAGGCGCAGGGGAATCCGGCGGCTTGCGCAAATCAGAGCTGCAAAGCCTGGGAAGGCCGTACTCGCGTCCTGTCTCCGTCCCCCATGCCCGGTGCGCAGTCTGTCCCCGCTCCGGCCTCAGCACGCCCAGCGTTTGGTTTCCGTAGTGGTCTAAGTTCCTTAACAGACCGACCTGGGGTGAGAAAGCCTCCCCCGAACGGACTTTCCTGGAACAGCGAAGGACTGTCTGCGAAACCGAAGAAGCAGACATCTGCATTGTAGGGCAGCTTGAGTTCGCCAATTCCCAGCATGTGAGCTCCAAAAGAAAGGAGCAGGACCAACCCTGCCCCTAAACCCCGAATTTAGGTCGCAGGGGGCCTTGTGTTGCAACCACGTGTGGCGGCTCCGAGGCACGTTCCTGATTGTTTATAGAGGATCCTTCCAGGTCTACCATTTGGGTTTTCCTTGGCACTTGGTAGAATTTTCTTACGCTCCCATTTTGCATGCCTTCTTGCGATGATGCTAGGGTGGACAGTAGCAGTAAACAGCCTTATCCCTTCATTCTCCGAGGCCCCAGGTACATCTGCATAGATTTTTGAACAGCCCTCGAGCGTTCTTGAGATAACTCGTCTTGCTTTCTTTCACTGGCAGGTCCTGGGCCCCGCAGGTGCCCCTCGCATTGGCACGGCAGGCGAGAAGTCCAGGACAGAGTGCCTGAAATGAGAGGCTGCGTGTTCCTGAAGCCCTAGAAGCCGCCGCACGAAAGCCAGACCGTGCGAGGACCAGGCATGATCCCACGAGCGGTTCCAGCACGAGGCGGCAGCAGCGCTTCCAGAAAGCGTGGCAACCGTCTTCATTTGTATCCGGTACTAACCGCAATATTGCAATTCTAAAAACCCAGGGACAGTTTCGTAGATCATGCCAGGGCCCCTTTGGCCCTAAATAAACGGGAAGACCGTGAACCCCGACCCCGATGAACCCTGAAGCTCGAGGCAATATGCCAGCGTCAGCGACGCCACAATCGCCACCACCCCATCTGCGACCCCAGGCGGCAAACCTCCAGCACTCGTGGTTTAAGGCCTAAGGCTTTGAGGTTCCAGAACGTTCGGATCAAGGGCTTGAGGTCAAAGGCTTTAGACTTCAGAAGCTGGCGGGTAATGGGGAGACACTGCACTCGCTCGAGACGATGCCTCCTTTTGCATTGGCAGGTCCTTGTAGCCGTGCCCCGGTGACCTTTGCCTAGGCCGGGTGGTAGAAGCCATCCTGCCATGCGTTTGCATTCAGCGATGTTAGTTTAGATTGCCGCACACAGACAGACATACTGCCCGGCGGTGCTCAAAGCCCTTCTGGCACTGTCCTTTCAGAATCATGCTGCGGAGTTTGGGAATGCCCCCCCCTGCGCAGTACTATCAGGCCTGGCAGTTGCGGATGGTGAGTTGGGAGATTCCGAAAATTAGGGGGTACCTTATTTTGGGGTCCTTATAATAGGGATCCTACTATTTAGGGTACTATCTTAGGGTCCCCTATTTTCGGAAGCCCCCAGTTGGCTCTGCGGCCAGCCGGTAACGAGATTTGCTGTGATGAGCCAAGCCATCCAGCTAGTTCCATCGCTGCTCTTTTACGGCCAGGGCCTCCTGCCCCAAGGTCAGCACTTCCGAGGGCTTTTTGGGTTATGTGGCTTTACAGTCTGCGGAGTATCGACTGCACTCGACTTGTCAGGAATGTCTCGACTCCTGTGTAGCTGCGGAATACTGTCTTGCAATACTGTAGCTGCCTCCGGCTTAGCAAAGGCACGCCGGATTTCACGCCTTTAGACAGCCCGCCTGAGCTTGGTGCAGAATCTGCCCATGCGTTAATGCCTATTGTTTCATCCAAAAAGGTCCAAGTCCGATTCGCTTGCAAGGAGCTCTCCGCCCTGGCAGTGAAACTCACTAATCATAAGCTTGCAAAGAGAACACTGCACCGAGTGCACATAGCCAGTACAGATAAAGTCGTGTGGTAGCGGCCACAATCGAAACAGTCATAGCGTTGCCGGCAAACGCTTGCAATGGCGCTCAAGGACGCGAAGTGATGCAGCACGACACTACTCCCACCATGCCAGGACGAGACTACTCCAGGGGGAGTGTCCTGCTCTCCCGATGCCGTCCTTGCCGTGCAGGTGGAGTTAGCAGCCTGGGCCCTAGGCAGCGCCTGCCCTTGGAAACAACGGCTCTGGCTCGGGAACTGTATTAATACCAATATGCATCAATGATCTGGGCAGTTCCACTTGTCGATTCTGCCATAGTATATCATAATAGTAAACTATATCGTATGGCCTTGCTGTATGATATTGCGTTACTACCCTATAAGATATCTTCCTATGCTATGTTAGGGTAGACTGCTTCCCAGGCGAAGGAGCCTGGACGTCGGGAGGTTTCTAGACCCGGCCGCGCCACGCAGGACAGCGGGGTCAATGCAACTGTGGAAGAAAGGTGTTCTCATGTTCTGGTCTTGTATGACCATTATCTTATTGTACTATAACTTCTGCTACTTATAAATGATATAGTCCATTCCGTTCGGTCATATTCTTGTATACCGTATTATGCAATATTGCACTATACCGTACTATGTGAGGCTATTATAAATTATGCTCTAGTGCTGTGCCGAAGCAGGAGTTGCCCGAGCAACGCGCCCCGAGACAGAGAAAGGCAAGGCTCTGCTGGCACACAGGAGTTAGAGCTTCGGGCCTGGGGCTGAGGGGTTTAGGTTATAAGGGTTTAGGGTTGTTAGGGTTATTAGGGTTATTAGGGCTTGGGGTTTCGGGTCTTCGTTCGCTGCATGGAGGCTGTTCGTGATGCAGACTTTACCGACACCTCCTCCGAGGAGGCCGCTGCACAGCATGCAGACGACTATGAACTGCTGTTGCTACTGCTAGGTTACCAGCATGTACTAGCACGAAGGTTGGTCGCAGCTGATACTAAGCATTTTTCTGCAGACTGTGGGTAGTTACCAGCAACATAGTGAATAGTTTGATTAGCCTGTCGCCCCAGACTTCTCCAGGACGAAGGGATCGGCCATGCTCTGCCGATAGAGGTCTGGCGCTTCGCAGATGCTGCTCATGACGTCTTGTTTTTGAGAATCGGAGTTGCTGTGCTGTGGATGTGGTGCACTCGGGCCATGTACAAACAGGAAATACCGGAAGAGATCGAGATCGAAGACGATGCGTTCGGATATGGTTCGAGGTCGTGCCGAAGACAGTGCCATGTTTTGCTGGTGTAGACATATGAAGCAAGCAGGTCCTTGAATCCACGTGACTTCCGACATGACGTGCGAGCTGACCTGACAAGTAGCCTCAACTCCAGTACAGATATGGACAAGGAGTGATCGCCCAAAGCTCGGCTTTGGCATCTGCAGTGCAGCACTAGAAGCGCACTTGACTTTCAGGGGTGTAGTCCTTTGCAGATGCTTCCAAGTAGTTTTGCTCTGGGCGCATAAAGTGAGCCAGACACGAAAGCTCTGCCGCGAGCTCTTGGGACATCTTTTTGGCAACACGTCCTGAATGCAAGCACAGTTCAGTGATTCTTGTCGGATCACCAGTGTCGAAGACATGGGTGTTCTGTCACAATGCCGAAAGGTATTGTACACGTGCATCGGGACCGCTGTTCAGCACATCACTGCTCGCCAAACTACAATGGCGAGAAGTCCGAAGCATGTTAGGATTATAGTCCTTAGCATTAGTACTCGTGTCATTATGAATGTTGAACAGCAATGGCCAGCCCGATACTTGCTCGTTGTGTTATATTGGCCGCAGGGAAAATCTGCAAGGGCCGGAGGAATTTGAAGACCAGGGCCGACAGTCGGAGAGTCCAGTCGTTGGCCTTGGGCCTCGGTTGCTGTGGCTACAACAGGCATGGCATCTCTAGAGGTGGACATGGTGTACAGGCTTAGTAGATGCAGCTGCGACTGCGCTTCATTTTCAAAAGCTCCAGGGTTTTGAGCGCACATAGACATCTGAATTGCATGATACACCAGAGAAGCGGCAAGCCTAAGGAGATCAAACGAAAGCATCAGATCAGAAAACTAAGAAACGCAAGACCCTGCTTAAACTTAGTTTGTGCTATCTCAATGTTTGGTGATATTGTCAGCCTTTTGGTTTAGGGTGGTGTGATTGTTGATGGTGATGTCGTGGTAGTTGTTTCTTGTTGGTTCGTGCTGGTCTAGTCTGCAATCCTAGCCTTCGCCATTGTGATATGACTGTTCGTTTCGTGTCGCTTGTGTTTTGTTTATGTTCTGAGAATATGGACTCCATGTGTTGAGATCTGTTACCGTTCTTGTCGCAGCGACGGATAAACCTGCTCAACATCTGATACCAGCCTTCAGCCCGACCTGCCACATCACTCCGGCAGCATGTAACTGAAGCGCCTTGCAGACCCCAAAGTACATCAGCTGGGATGGTTTCAACCCTGACCCCGCCTTTGTGATTGTTTGCAACTGCGACGTGATGGCAGGCACATGGCAGGGTCGAGGCCCAAAACCGATGAATGCCATGTGCATTCCGCGTTCACTTGCTTATCTCACAACGTACCATGCTGGGGAGACGATGTGTGCATATATCTCGGTGTATACTGCGAAGATGGTTACCACCTTTGGAGATGCTTACTGCAGCATGTCTGTATATTATGTAGATCTGAGATCTGTAATTTACACCGTCACAGCATGTTTGTGAGATTGTGTAGGTGTGCTCGCTTCTCGCGGCTTGCAGATCTCATCAAGCTAGTGTTATGAGTTTGCAAAAGTTTCCGAGGATGTAACTGTGACCAGCGTTGGGCAGGATGTGGTCAAAGCACTCATGGCCGGTATTTCCCCACAGTTGTCCGGCCTGTTGCACGGTGCCTGCTTCGTGTAGTAGCTAGGTCCATGAGCCATGTCTACCCGAACTCCTGCCGTGCCCGATGACTTTCCGCATTTCGTGGCCTGGCTTGGGTCTCAGCTGCGCCGATCCAAGTAAGCCTGCCTGAACAGAATCTGTAAAAAGCGTTAACGGCTCTTGTCTGTTAGGTCTGAATGCATTCTGTAAGCGACGAATCCCATGCAAGGTATGGCCGCATTCCGGGCTTTGAGCACGCTGCCGTCAGGGTGAAGGTCAGCAGATGGTTTCCGAGATTTTCCGAGTTTCATGTCCTAAACCCTGGAAAATCCTGAACTCTAGCATTTTGGCTCAAGAACTTGGTAGGGAAGTGGACGTGAACTTGGGAACAGATCCGACATAAAGTACAAATCATGTTGCGATTTGGGGAGCGGACTTTGCAGAGGCTTAGCCGCCGCAGCGCCGCGAAAGCAGTCCGTGGGCTGATCGTGGCTTCAAGGCCCAAAGCCACGTTGGCCACAACGCACCAGGCCATTCCGACGTTGCCACCACGGGTCATCGCAGCTTCGCGCAGCAACTGGGAAGAATGGATGGTCAACCTGCGCGGCGAGGACGTTTGGCTGGCCGGCCCTCGTGACCTCTCCTGGTATACCGGCCAGCCGCCTGTGCCAGGGCTATGCCCTGGAGTGTCGCCGGATGGCGCCATTCGGGCATTGCCCATGCCCAATCTGAACAAGCTCACCCGGAAGCAAGTGCAGGAGTACTTCGACAACTCCTGGACAATGGTCGAGGTGCTTTTCGCTGGCTTTCATGGCGAGGAACCCTTCTACCGTCCTCCGGTGCATGGCTTGCGGCATCCGCAAATCTTTTACTACGGACACACTCCCTGCGTGTACATCAACAAGCTGCGGGTGGCTGGCGTGCTGAAGGATGCAGTGGACCCGTACATGGAGTCGATCATGGAGGTTGGAGTCGACGAGATGCTTTGGGATGATATGCACAAGAATGACATGGTCTGGCCGACTGTGAAAGAGGTCCAAGAGTATCGGAAGAAGGTCTACAAAATCGTGAGTGAGGTCATTGCGACTCATCCCGATCTCGAGGATAACAACGGCACTACACCGGTGAAGATCACCTGGGATCACCCTTTGTGGTCCATCTTCATGGGCGTGGAGCACGAAGCCATCCACGTCGAGACCAGCTCCGTCCTCTTCCGGGAGACCCCCAGCCACCTGATGCAGGTCCCAGCTTCCTGGCCGGGGCTGCACCCCTCGAGCCTCCAGTCGGCCCAAAGCCTCCGGCCGGAGGTGGGTCGGGACTTTCCGCAGAATGAGATGCTGAGTGTGACCGGCGAGACCGTAAAGCTGGGAAAGCCACGGGACTTCCCCACCTATGGCTGGGACAACGAGTATGGCGATCGCAGCGTGCAGGTGCCCGACTTCAAGGCCAGCAAGTACATGATCACGAATGGTGAGTTCTGGCACTTCGTGACGTCCGGCGGCTACCGTACTGAGAAGTACTGGTCAGAGGACGGATGGAACTGGCGCAAATACCGGAACATGAAGTGGCCTTTCTTCTGGGTCCAAGATGGGCCACAGGGATCGATGCAGTTCAAGCTTCGGACTATCTTCCAGGAGATTGATATGGTCTGGAGTTGGCCTGTTGATGTCAACTACCATGAGGCTCGAGCATACTGCGCATGGAAGTCGGAGCAGGACGGGCTGGCTGGCAGCCCTCAGGCGTACCGAGTGATCACAGAGGCCGAGCACCATTTGATTCGCCATCCCGAGGCGCGTCCTGAGAACATGGCCTCCAGGACCTACGATCGGGCGATGCACGCAGGCGGCGCAGAGTACGCGTCTAGCAGCTCAGAGGCGGCCAACGCCAACTTGGCCTATGCTTCGCAGTCTCCTGTCGATGCGCTTCCGGCATCCCCCACTGGCCACCACGACGCCATGGGTAACGCTTGGGAGTGGACAGAAGACCATTTCAATCCTCTGGATGGCTTCAAGGTTCATTATACCTACGACGACTTCTCCGCGCCGTGCTTCGACGGACGACATCACATGATCATGGGCGGGAGCTTCGTTAGCAAGTCCGACAATGGTGCCTCCGGGTTCTGTCGATATCACTTCCGGCCTCATTTCCTTCAGCACTCCGGCTTCCGGCTGGTTTCGTCATGGTCGCCTCCTCCGGCCACGAGACTGGACGCCCCCTTCATGCAGGGCGCCGACAACGAGCAGGCTCCTCCAGCCTCCTCCGCCGCCGCGGGGACCGGCGCAGCGGTAGCCGGCTCTGGGGGCTATGAGACGCAACGGCTGGTGGATCAATACCTCGGGCTCCACTTCCCAGCCTCAGGACTTGGCTCTGTTGACCCGATCCTGGGTCACCCGTCCGCTCCCGAGCATGCGTTGCGCTTCCCACAGCGCGTTGCCAAGATGCTGGCGGAGGCCGCTGTGACTGGAAGAGGAGGCAACCTCAGGGCCTTAGACATTGGCTGTGCAGTGGGTGGATCCTCCTTCGAACTTGCAGCCAGTGGGTTCAACGAGGTCTTGGGCGTCGACTTCAGCAGTGCCTTCATCAACGCGGCAAACAGGATGAAGGCTGGTGAGGAGATTCGCTTCAAGCTGCCCATAGAAGGAGAGCTGGAGACTGAAATCACGGCAGTGCACGAAGCCAACGTGGATGCGGAAGTGCGACAGCGGGTGACTTTCCGCACGGGCGACGCCTGCAGGCTGAAGGACGAGGTCGCGGAGCTAGGCCGATTCGATGGTGCCTTGCTGGCCAATCTGCTCTGCCGGCTGCCAGATCCCGTAGCATGCTTGGATGGGCTCAGTGTCCTTCTTCGCCCAGGAGCAGCAGCGGTCATCCTCACGCCTTTCTCCTGGCTTGAGGACTTCACTCCCAAGCAAAAGTGGCTTGGCGGTTTCATGGATCCTATCACGCAGACGCAGGTGCGGTCGAAGGATCAACTTCAGAAGCTCATGGAAGAGCGTGGCTTCGCGAAGATCGGCGAGCAGCAGGTGCCACTCCTCATCCGCGAGCACCAGCGGAAGTACCAGTACATCGTGTCGGAAGCCACCATTTGGCGCAGGAAGTAACACGGCGGCCCTGACATCTTTCGACGGACCTGGTCATTCCATCATGGGGCCTCTTTGTGTCTCAGGTTGATGGAAGAACCTCCGGGAACCGCACCAGACTGTTCCACCCTACAGGCGGCACAGTTTGCTTGGTTGGCACAACGGGCAGCTGTGCTCCTCACTTCCGTCCTACAGTCCCTTACTGAGTGAACTCTACGGGTTCAGGCCCGCACAATTTGTTCCGGTAGATCTTGTGCAGCTTTCAGGGCACATGTGCAGACTGAATCGCTAAATGTTCGGCGACAGCGTCCGTCCGCAGCGCCAGATGCAGATGCACATGGACAGCCAATGGGATGTCGGCCCGAGATAACGATGCTACCACCGTCGAAGGCGATGGGAGTGTCCGCGTAGAAAGGACCCTATACCTTCTTATCTGAAACTCCCATGTTGCTGCAACAGAAGAGAGATTTTTGAGGGCCAGATCTCGCTCGTGGTCCAGCAATCGGCGGAATGAGACTGCTTTGAGGGATTAGGGTGCCCCGATGCCTCAAACCTTAAGGCGTTCAAAAAACCGCAAACAAAGCTAAACGCTCCACTTCCGAAAACTGCTGCCCACGCGAGCTCTGGTCCGCTCCACTAAGCCCGGCAGTGCCCAGTCACTGCTCAGAGAGATCAGCGTTTTTGCGGGCCCGCGTGAAGCACCTCTTGGCCGGATCGACCTTCCCTTTGAGAACACTGTTCTGGAGCCTCCAATAATTATCATAGGGCTTTATGTCCATGTCTGCGTTCCGTTGTTTTGTTGTTGGGATTGTTCTCGGCCGTGGCCGTTGATGGCGCTTGGTTGGCGCGACGGGCGGCTTTCGGAGGTGCGACGAAAGCTCGCTTGGCTCTTAACGAGCCAGAGGTTCCTGTACGATCAGTGGAGCTCTAGGTTTTCTCTGTTTCGCTTGGAGGCCCATCTCCACCATAGCCGTACAAGTAGTGGTATTCTGACTGTAGCAGGGAGGAAAAGAGCCTCAAGGATTTGACAGAAGAACCATGAAGAAGCTGCAGCTTGGTGTCTTGCTGTGGCACCGGATGGTGCACGGATGAGTGGCCAGCTTCAGGTAGCCAAGTCTTGGAGGCAATTTCTATGAACTCTCTCACTGACAATTTGAGCGCAGGAGTTCCATTGCCGAGATCAAGTCTTCCACATGCGACAGCTTGTGGATGCTCGGTGCCCCTGAGAAAGCTCTTTCCAAGCCTTGCCATACTTAGTATGCCAGTTCTTCATGACGTTTGGGCTGGTGATGGTCATAGTTGCTTCGGGATGCTGTAGTTGTGTTACAGTAGTGCTGTTGAAAAAGATATGTTGCACCATCCTTTTCGAAGAGCTCCCCTGAATGAATCTGGGTGCGAGGTACTACCTCAACTGGCACTATGCCAATGCCGAGCCTTGACGAGCTTCGTGCTTGTGTTCGTGATTTCTCGCCCACCTTGACAGATTTCCCCTTGTCGTACTAACAATGGTAATGGGACGAACTGTTTTGGGTTGGGTAATGTCTGGTCTGGGATTTAAGAGAACTTCGTGTCGCAGTGATGCTGGGAAAGTTGCTGAGCTCTGCTTCTCACGCTGCCACGATTACCTTGGCAAGGACACTTACGGCGTTTCGGCGTATTTCACTGCAGCTGAAGAGTGGCTGCGCTGTCGCGCGGATGCCTGGAACCCTTCTCAACTTACTTGCCTCGCACGATACATGCATGGGCACTAGCTGTGCACCAAGCCGAACCCTTCCTTCCAAGCCTGGCGCTGGCAGACTGTTCCAGCCGAGTTTCCATGCATACTTTAGGCACGAGTGTAAAGGTAGTTACTTGGCAATTCCGGGATGGCCTATGCAATGAGTATTCTGTAAGACATTGACTCGCGCTGCATCGAGGCTACGTTGCTTCCCAGCAGCAGGTCGCCTTATAAGTTGCGGTACATGAGTTAAGTCTTCACTCTCGTTTCCCTGTTTCTTTCAGCTTCAAGCTAATACTGCACCCACTCGAGCTGGTATCTAGATGGGAAGCTCGATAATCTCGACGGCAACCTCATTGACTCAAGCCAAGCCCTCTCGAATGCCAAATGCGCTGGACCACATGACTTGGGAGCCATCTTCCGCAGAATCAGCACCCCAGCAGTCTGTAGGTGGAACTCCGGATGTACCTTCACCCCAAGGTCCGCCTCGATCCCTCCAGCCTGATGCAGACAAGGCCGAATCATGCGCTTGGCCCCAGATGAGCGGCCGCAGGCGCTGAAGGACAGAGGAGATGGAATCATGGTAGGATTCACCCATCATCAGCAAAATTCCGGTTTTGCACCCTGACAAGACAGCACGCACATCTCGACCACGGCACAGTTGACGACTGACAGTACTTCTAGTCGCGCCACGAAGGCGGTTATGACTATCCAGAGAAGGGATGCATCGTCGAGTGCCAATGCCATGAGCCACCCATGGGTGGCTGGTAGCACTAGCAGTTATATAATGGCGTTATGATATCCACATCTTTTGCTGAGGTCACAGCAAGATCCGCACCGACAATGAGGGATGGTCTCTTTTAGCACCATGACGGGTGCTGGTCGCTACCGCTAGTTCCAGTAATGAGAACAACGAGAAAAAGTTAGCTGTGAAGATGAGAGATCCTAGTACCCCGAACAGCAGTACGAGTACCACCCCGCAAGAGCAGCAATCCGTGACGGAAGGTCATGCACGCTGCCGCCTTATAGTGTCAGACACAGGCTTGAAGTTCTCCTGGACACATCAGCGACCCAGGAGAACGTCCCGTCCTGGCTCGGGCCTGGCTCGCATGTCTAGTTCCAGAGCCCTCGCATGCAGCCACCGCACAAACCTCAACTAGTTCATCAGCCGGCGCTGCGCGTGCGCTCCGCTCTACAGCCCGCGTATGTAGTAAAACATGAAAAGTTGCAAGCACAGCGTAATAAGGCTCTCAACCACACTCTTGAGCTGGGCGGCAACTGCGGAAGCGGCCCTGCCGTAATACTGGTGGAACTAGCTACTGGAACGCCATATTTGTAGTCTGTTCTATCAACATGAGCAGATGGATCACGGCCCGGTGAGCCGTGCTACAAAGCAACAGCGGCCCTATCGGTTGTTTTCGCCAGAGCGTGCCTCTACAGCGCCTACATTGGAGGAGTGAGTCCAGCCTACGTGCAGCCCCTTGCCAACCATGTGGAGTGCAACTTAGATCCGGGACAAGGCCTGCTTGGAAACGCCTGGGCATAGTAGTGTCCCAGCCCTGGCCCAGCGCTCCACTGACTTTGCAAAGAAGAGTGTCGACCAGCCCTTCACGGTCGGTATCGAGCGGCTGAACCTTGCTGGAGACCACCCCTTGTGCAGGCCACGTGGTGGCGCAAACGCCTCGCCCAGGAGGGGCTCTGCCCCGCAAAGGACCAGGAGGCTAGCGTGCCAGCCTCATCCAGCCTCCATGCTAAGGTCCTTAAGGTACCCGAGAAGGCTTTGCAGCGGCCCACAGATGCGCTGCCACCAGTGGAGTCTGTCCATCACTTTCCGTAGCTGCCCAGGTGCGCAACCGTAGCCTCCTTGAGAGCCCCACGCATCCGCTTCGCCACCGCGCGCCCACCGTTTCGTGCACGAGAAACGGTGCTGAAGGTCTGCAAGTGGGTACCGGACTGTAGGCCCTGCATCGCTCTTCTCCGAAGCCGGACAACATCCGACAAAGTTCTCGGCGAGCGCGTTTGCATGCTCATCGCTACTGCCATCAGGCGTCGGACAGCAGGCTGCCACTACCGGCCTCTATGATGGCAGTGTGGCCGCGTTTGCCCCTCATGGGGTTGTGCTTGCGAATCAATTGCCGTGCCTGCCGGGTTCGATCCGTTTCAGTGCGGTCCACACTGCTGAAGCCAGCTTGTGTCGCCGTACTGCATTGTGACGACGCTCCGCTGAGCTGAGCTAAAGTCGTGACCACCCGTCTGCGTAGGTCAGACCGTAGATTTCCAAAACTTTACAAAGCTAGGGTCAGGGTTGTCCAACCTCGATAACATGGTCGATACTGTTGAGAGCCCGTAGTAGATCAGGCATTCCTTGGGGCCCCTCAGAGATCAAGAAGTTTGAACTTCGACTTTAGGTCTGAAGCTGCGCCTCGCATAATGGTTGCCGAGTCGCTGCGTTGAACTCATTAACCGGAAACTGTTTGATCCTGTTGCCATGCCAGCTGAGAGAGGAGAGATGCTTCGCAATATAATACGTTTTAGGAATGGGACCAGATGGACCAGACGATCACGCATGAATCGAGTTATTTGAGGATCTCCGAGCCAAAGTGCCAATTTGGAAGCTGTGCCGTGCAGCCCAACAGCACTCAACTGTAAAACTGAACTACATAACGAAACTGAAGGCTGGCATACTTCAAAGAAACTTGTCAGAAGTCGGCTTCGTAGACTCGATGAAATCCTGACAGGATTGGTTTGTCGACAAGTACCAGGCCCGATACATTGGCATGCGGAACCAGCTAGAGCCCGGTGAGCAGCGATGTCTGTCCCGTGCGCGTTGAAACTTTCGGCGTGGAAGTAGGTGCTAAGTTGTCACAAGCCGTCAGTACTGATGGCTATATGTGCACTGCCGCGAGAAAGCTTCAACATGCTTCAAAGTAAGGTGAACACCATCTGGGAATATCGCGAACCTCCACCTGCGATTGGCAACTTGACTAAACAGAAGATCAGGTATCTTCAACATCTGAGTCGATGTGCGAACAGCTTGCTGTCTGCCCAAGAAGGCATTGTGACATTTCGGGCAAGGGTTCAGCATCATTGGCAATTGAAAAGCCATCCGTCATGGTGTACCTGGTACCAACTTCTCCCAAAGTACAACAGCAACACAAACAACAGTGGAGCCAAGCTGAGAAGCTGAGGCAAGCACGAGCAGCTTTGAATGCCGAAGAGTCTGGAGATTTAGAAAGGGGGTCGAGGCAGGCATGAGGATCGTGCTAGATGACATTTCTTATGTGAATGACCCGAAAGCATAGGA